AGGAGTTTGAGGTTGCTGTGAGCTAGGATGATGCCACGGCACTCTAGCCCGGGCAACACAGTGAGACTCTGTCTCAAAAAAAAAAAAAAAAAGAAGCCAGAGAAATAAAACACTTGCAGAAGAACAAAGATAAGAATTAAATTGGACTTCTCTTCAGTAACCATGCAATCAAGAAGAGAATGGAGTAAAATATTTGATGTATTGAACGAAAAAGAACACCCACCAAGAATTCTGTATCCATTGAAAATATTCATCAAAAGTGGAGAAGAAATAGACTTTCTTAGACAAATAAAAATTGAGGGAAATTGTTGCCAGGAGACCTGCCTTGCAAGAAATGTTAAAAGAAGTCCTTTTGAGAAAGGAACATGATATAGGTCTGGAACATAGAACTACATAAGGAAAGGAAGAGCATTAAAAAAAGAGTAAATGGGACAGACACAGTGGCTCAAGCCTGTAATCCTGGCACTTTGGGAGGCTGAGACGGGATGATCTCTCGAGCCCAGGAGTTGGAAGCCGGCCTGGGTAACATGGAGGGACCCCATCTATACAAAAAATTTAAAAATTAGCTAGGCATGGTGACTTAGGCCTGTGGTGCCAGCAACTTGGGAGGCAGGAGGATCACTTGAACGCAGTGAGTTCAAGGCTACAGTGAGCTGTGATTGCACCACTGCACTCCAGCCTGGCACAGAACAAGACCACGACGTCTCTAAAAAAGAAAAATTTAAAAAGAAAATTAAAAAAAAATAAAAAAGAGTAAATGAAAGTAAAATATTTTTCTTATTCTTTGTTGATCTATCAGACAACAGTTTGTTCAAAATAATAATAGCAACAATGTGTTTGGTGATTATAGCTTATAGATAAGTGAAGTGAATGACAGCACTGTTATAAGGGACAGGAAGGAGGAACTGGGAATACTCTGTTCAAGGTACTTGCACTACCCATGAAGTGGTACAGTACTATTTGAAAGTGGACTTGGATTTGTTGTATATACTGCAAGCTCTAGGGCAACCACTAAAAGTTTTTTTTAGTAAATATAACCGGTATCCTAATTGAGGAGAGAAAATAGAATCATATAAAATGCTTAATTAAAAACCAGAGAAGAACAGAAAAAGAGTGGAAGACAAAAAATGAAACAAAGAACAAGGGCAATGAATAGGTAATATTTACAAATATGGTAGATATTAATCCAACTGTATCAATAATTGCTTTTTGGCCAGGCGCTGTGGCTCACGCCTGTAATTCTAGCACTCTGGGAGGCAGAGGCGGGCGGATCGTTTGAGCTCAGGAGTTCGAGACCAGCCTGAGCCAAGAGTGAGACCCTGTCTCTACTAAAATAATAGAAAGAAATTAGCTGGACAACTGAAAACATATATAGAAAAAATTAGCCAGGCATGGTGTCCCAGGCCTGTAGTCCCAGCTCCTAGAAAGGCTGAGGCAGAAGGATCGCTTAAGCCCAGCAGTCTGAGGTTGCTGTGAGCTAGGCTAACACCACGGCACTCTAGCCCGGGCAGCACGGTGAGACTCTGTCTCAAAAAAAAAAAAAAGAATCACAACTAAGGAAATTCCAAGATTCTCTGCAACTCCAGCTCCAAAAATCCCATCTAATTATCCTATTTTCCTGTCTAAGCAACAACTTGCCCTTAATTCTTTCTCTACATTTCTGCTGTATGACTATAACTCTGATGATATCTCTCTGGTATCCTAATCCCAGGGCAACACATAATATTGGAAAGCATAGAAAGCAAGTGTCATAAACAATTGCAAAGCAGTCTTTAAGAACACGAGGGTACATTAGAAAGGCTACATTTGATGTTTCACTTGTAATATTGTTCATATAACGAGAACAGTTGCATGGCTGGATACTTTCTGGACAGCCCTTATATAGTGGTGGTATTTAGTTTTAAATTAGAGAATAGGAAATACGGTACATGTAATTAGTATAAAATTCTAAGACCCAAAAGTAAAAACTAGGTCTCCCTCCACCACCCAGTCCACAAGCCATTTGGTTCCCTCTCAGAAGGCAACAATTCTTACCAGTTTATTTATCTTTCCAGAGATAGTCTATGTATACTACAAGCAAATATAGATTTTATTAATATATACATACATGTATAGAAAAATATATACATTTTTATAAAAATAGTGGCATAATATACATATTCTTCTTCACATTATTTTTCACTTATGTAATAGCATTTTTATTGATAACATCCTGACAACCCGGGGCATGTGATGGTGGCATAACCAATTTCTAGCTAACCTTAGTAAACCATAAAGAGGAATCACAAGGTGTCATAGCACAGAGTATGTAGGAAATTCTAAAATCTTTATTTTTCTCCATGATTGTTAATTGAAGCCCTACTATGCACTACATACTATATTAGGTACCTTATACTTTCATTCAGTACAATAACCTTTTGAGGTAAGGTTTCTTGAGTTTTATTACTATTTTATACATGAGAAAATTAAAGGTTTAAAGAGCTTAACTAGCCCAAAATCCTGACTAGAAAGTGGCAGAGTTGCCTGACTCCAAAGCCCACGTACTCTGTTACAATACTAACTATATATTTGATCTTTACAAATAACTTTTTAAAAATACGGTATTCTCCTAAGCCAGGTGCAGTGGCACAAGCCTAGAGTCCCAGCTACTGGGGAAGCAAAGGCAGGAGGATCGCTTGAGCCCAGGAGTTCAAGGCTGCAGTGAGCTATGATCACACCTGTGAATAGCCACTGTACTCCAGCCTGGGCATCATAGTGAGACTCCATTTCAAAAAAAAAAAAAAAAAATCCTTCTACATTTTGTATTTTGTTTGTTTAATTCAAAGATACATCACAGTTGTCTTCAACTATAGAAACAGATTCAGCTAGAATATCTAATTCCTCTCCACTACTTCGATCACATGTTACCACCACTGAGTATTGCCTTCCATCATAATATTCCTACAGCAGTAAAACTAGGGGAAAAAATTGCAGACAGAGAATTGTATAATTAGCATGCACAGAAATTCAGAACTAGTTACGTGACAAAGGCTGACACAAATTTAAACCTTCATATTTGGAAACAAGATTTGCCATTTAATAGGAATTGCATTCTTTAAACTGGAGAATATCTCTTGTGAAGAAAACTTTTAGGGTTAAATCCACACATAACTATATTCATACTTGGAAGCACTTTGACAACTCAAGGCTGAAAATCCCACACTGTGCTTGTCGTCAGTCCATTGTTTTGCTGCCTGGTAGGCTCTGGAAGTGAATATTCCACCACTTTGTGCAGCTGACGCTGAATGCTGTGTCTGCTGAACTGGGGCCTCCCAGGGTCACCAATCAGTACTCGAGTTCTGTAGGTCCAGAAGCAATTCTTCAGCCACTGATGAAGGCTATCTGCAAGACTTTCATCATAAAACATATCTCCAAGAACAACAAGGTCCCACTTATCTTGTTCCAAATCCAAAATGTTTTTGGTTAAAATGGGCAAAGGATTCAGTCGGTTCAATTCACAATTTAGTGTAATAGCCATTCCTGCAACTTCAAAAAGGCATATAATGATTGATATATGGTAGGCTGTTATAATTCCCTGTTGATTAATTTAAATAATTTAAGAAATCTCCTAAAAATATGGTTTTTCCCCCTTTTTGTTGAAAGTTTTTTTTTTTAGATAAAGTTTATGGCAATATAAGCCGTATACTGCAATTTCTGAATATATGACTGGATATCCTAAAAATAAAACAATCCAAAATACCTAGAAACACTGGGATTTTGGGAAATTTGCTTATCGCAAACCAAGAGGTTTGGTTTTTTACTGTGCACAGGGAAACAAGCCTTGGGCTTGAGCATGGCAGCAAATCAGAAATGAGACCCCTGTGTAAAGTACAGATCTTCAAGGGCTATGTCCTCAGTGAAAGGCTAGACCAGAATAAAATCAGATAAAATAAAAACTTGTCTCAACTTGAGTTCTAATGGAATAAAAATCTCCCCTAAAGACACAGGCCTATCCTTACTTGGGCCTGGAGTCAAACAAACACTATTTATTTCAGAAAATTCCTAGCCCAGAAATTAACTTGAATGCTTCCTGGTTGGTATACTTCCAGGATATCTGGAAGATACAAATGCAAATCCTCTTGGGAAAAATGTACCATCAACTCAGGCCTCAGAGGATTCCCACACATAATGTCCCACTGAACAAAAATTCATAATATCAGATTACAAAAAAAAAAAATCAGATGGCAATAAGCTATCACATTGAGATATGTGTACATATTTATCCCAGAAAGAAAAAAAAAAGATGAGCTTTAAATATTTTTGAATACGAATACTTACTAGGGTCTATGTCATTGGCCAAGATCCTTGATGCTCCACTCATCTTAGCAGCAATAGCTGTAGCTCCACATCCACTCCCCAGATCTAGTACAGATTTCCCTCTGACAACATCAGGATGATCCAGAAGATACCTACATTAAAAAGAAAAGAGAAAGGATGGGAACAGGTCAGTAAAAGGTATCAGAAAAAAAAAAAAGAGAGAGAGAGAATAAGAGAAGAGATGTCTTCAGGTTGACTGGACAAAAGAAATAGTGGAACCTAGCAGACGAACTTGGTCCAACTTTGGCAAGTTTGGTCTGACTAGAGTGAAACAAAAAGTCCATCTTCAGAGCTGGGCAGAGGGCAGGAGAGAAGACCTAGTCATTTGGTCTTTCGTTTCAGCAGGTGTGAAGAGTAGTTCCACACAACCGACCAATCATGCTCAACTTAAAAAAAAAAAAAAGTTGTAAAGAAAAATGGAAAATCTCAGGACCCCCAAACCAATTATGTGAAAGTTAAATCTGGAGACTGAGTCACACAACACTGGCGTCCTTTTCTCTGACAGACAGCTGTCACCTTGCAACCTTATGTCAAAGCACTATATATTAGCCAGACCCCTACAAAAGGAAAAAGGCCTCATGCATCTCCAGACGACGGCCTTCATGCATAAGTAAATTCGTGGCCAGCCCCTAAACCTTTCGAGATGTATATCCTCCCATAAACAAGGACATGTCAACTGCAACCTAAGTCTAACTTCTTGTCCATGAAACTAACGTCTGTCAAATTTCACAATGACAATGTTGATTACAAGGTTATCTTCCCAGGTACAGAACAGAGACAGGATGAGATTAATCATTACTCTACAGACCCTGCGACAGGTATCTGCATAATTACTCTCATTTTCCAAATTACCTTAAGAATGGCATAGATTTACTGGGTACTAATTAAAATCTCACAAGAATGTAACCATTTGTCTCAACACCTACCCCCCTTTTTCCTGCATGCCTTTTTCCCCTTTAAAGAAATGTGTAAATACTAAGTCTCCTAAAACCTCTCTGGAGAGCACAGGCCACGTTGCTGTGACTTGTGTTTTCCTGGGCACACCGTCAAGTTCTTACTCAATAAACCTTGATTGAGAATCTTGCCTTAGTCTCTCATTTGAGTTGACAAAATATTGAATACTTGCTATGATCGAGACACTACCAAGCACTAGAAATTAAGACTGACAAGATATTGCTATAATCAGGACTAAGCAAACTAGATTCAAAATTCACTGTCTCTTTTTGATTGTTCATCATAGAGTGATAAAAACCTGTTTCTTGAATCATATTATAATGACCTCTCTGGTAAAGCACAAAGTCCAGTTCAACCAAGGAATTTGGACCAGGGCTAGATAGTTCCCAAACAAGTGAAGATAAATGGGGAATGTAGGGGCCAAGGCCTGTGGCCCCTGAAGGTTCATGGAAAAATCAACTTACAGAAGGCAGATTAATCGGAAAAAAGACAAAATTATTTAATGTGTATACATGGGAGCCTTCAGAATGAAGACCCAAAGATACAGGGGGGAATTGTCCTTTTCTATGCTTAGGTTCAACAATGTATAGACAGCTGTGTGGAAATATGATTGGAAAAAAAGGGCACAATCTAATGCTAACAGACTGAGTGAGGAAACCCAGCAAGGCCTGTCTGTCTAGATTCTTCTTGGCCTCTCTGAGCAGCATTCCTTCCTTCCCGGTATGGGGCAGGTCCCCTTTTGGAATGGGGGTCTTATGACCTACAGTCAAACAAGGTAGGTCAGATCATTTCTTTACAGCCAGTTTTTACACTGAATAGTTTTAGGTTTTATGAGTGGCTTTCAGGAAAAGGGGTTCTGGTTTCTATGACCTGCTTTGAAGAAGAGGGATTTTAGTTTCTACGGCTAGCCTTGGGGGAAAACAGGACTGAGACAGGAGGGAAAGAGGTCAGAGAAAAACTTTCGCTTCTGAGGTTGCTTCTGAAGCCTTCATTTTGGGGTACCGTTTTCTGAGTTTCAACAGGAAACACTGAAATAATAACTGTCAGCTGACACTGGATCTTAGGATTGGAGTAATAAGGAATAGTGGGGCCATGGCGAAGTAGGCTATCCATGCCCTGTCTAAAGTGCTGCTGCCCATCTTCAGCCAATTGTCGCTGCACAGAATTCCAGTGTTATCACATATTCCTGTTTTTCAAAACAAAGTAGATTTTTACATGAAATCTCCAAAGTTTCAAATGTTAGCAACTAATTTTTTAAAAGTGTATAGGTACAGGCCAAACAAAAAACACTTAAGGGTCACCAGTTTATAACCTCTAAATAACACAGTGTCTTGAGAAGATTGATTATATTTTGAGTTGATAAACAGTCACTTTAATAGACTTCACTTAAATTGTCAGCATTTTAAAAATATGATATAACTAAATAAAGCTTGATAATCAGGCCAGGTGCAGCAGCTCACGACTATAATCCCAGCACTTTGTGAGCTTGAGGTGAGAGGAACACTCAAGCCTAGTAGTTTGAGACTAGCCTGAGCAACATAGCAAGACCCCCATTTCTACAAAAAATTTAAAAATCAGTCAGGAATGGTGATGCATCTGTAGTCCCCAGCTACTTAGGAGGCTGAGGCAGGAGGATCACTTGAGTCTAAGAGTTTGAGGTTACAGTGAGCTACGATGACGCCACTGCACTCTAACTCAGGCAACAGAGCAAGATCCTGTCTCAAAAAAAAAAAAAAAAAAAAGAAAAAGAAAAGAAAGAAGGAAAGAAAGAAAAGAAAAGAAAAAATACAGCAACACAACCAGAAAATTGGCATTGTTTGGTACCACCTGGAAAGCTTTCTAGCCCTTGGATTTCCCCAAAAAAAGACCTATGCTTTCACTTATAGACTTTGCATTTAAAACAGAAGTCCTTAACACCCTTCTAAGGTTTTACAGCTTTATAACCTCATGGCATAAACAGATTAAATCATTTACCAATCCCAGAACAAGGACTAGATCCAATAATTAAAAAGGATAGCATGAGAAAATGTCCTAAGAAGACCTTTACAGTATGGAGAGTAGAAAGGTGTGAGGGGGACCTTACAAATGCAAATTTAAGTCCAGAGTGGGCCTGAGTTGTCAATAAGCCACTAGAGAAGAAAGAATCCTTGAGCAACCCACTAGCACCTCTTGTTTTATGGGAGAAGAGGCAACTACAGAGGGAGTGTGAGGTTTAAAAAGCAACATTCACAGAATTAAAGTAGGAGAACTGAAGGGCTGGGTCTTTACGTTCCATCTAGGAGCTTCGCACTGGCCATGTACTATGAATCATGAACCTGAGAACAGCTGGTATTTCTGGATCATTTATAGCTATCTAGGGTTCTGACAGCTGACCCTAGGATTTCTCTTGGGGAGACAGCTATATTTGGGGAAATACCTTGAAAAGTTTGGTTTAGAAGGGGAAACTATACAACAAAACAAGCAAAAAAATATTGCTAACCTGTTCTAAATAAGAAAACGAGAAGACTTTTGCTCTGGTTTTTTGTAGGGGCAGGAGAATTAGGAGTTCGAGGGGGCTGAAAAGAGAAAGGATCTGTAGCAGCCTTAAAGGTTTCCATTTCAAGAGGGCAGTACCTAGACAGGGCTTGGCCTCCTGGCCAGTAGATTGCCCAGTAAGGATCACTGTGGGGCCACAGGTCAGCTCTTTCCCACCAGAACCTGCACCTGGGGGTCAAAAGCCGCAATTGGATTTCGGGGGTGAGGCTGCCACTGCTGGTGACTTCAGTGTTCTCCTCCAGGAAAGCTCTCATCTCAGGGTCCAAAAAGCTTCCACCTCCTCTCCAGGGATGACAGAGAGCCCAGGGAAACAAAGGAGGACTTCTCATTGCCTGCAGAAGGAGACCACAGCAGTTCCTGCGAGCTTTCCAACCCAGACTCAAAGCCATCAGGCCTTCTCCTAAACACAGATTCTGTCAGTGTTGCTGTTGATAAGGGCTGCTCCTCATGGGCAAAGAACAAGGTCTGTCTTTCAACTTGATCTCAACTGGAATTTGTGGATCTCTAAAAAACAAACAAAAAAATACTAAAAATTCCAAGGCTGAGCAACATTTCTAGATCTTATTACATAATAAGAAAATATTACACTGTAAATTCTGTATCTGATGATTCACAAGTGCAAGTTCATTTCAGATGGAAGCTTTGGTGCATCAACTTGGGGAAATCCAATCTTTCAAAATGATGCATTTTCTCAAGAGAATCATTTTAATAATTAGAACAAATATATAAGCATTTGATTTTGAGAGAATCCTCAAGAAAATGCCTGTTACATTAAATAAGGTATACAATCATCCCTTGACATGCACAGGGGATTGGTTCCAGGACCACTCCCCTATACTAAAATCCGAGGATGCTTAAGTCCCTTATATAAAATGGCATAGTATTTGCATGTAAACGATACACATCCTCCCATACACTGTACTCTTTTTATTTCAAAGTATTACAGGGTACAAGTAATTTTAGTTACATGGATCGGTACACTCTATTAATACTTTAAATCATCTCTAGGTTACTTATAATACTTAACATTAATACAATGTAAGTGTATGTAAATAATTGTTATCCTGTATTTTTTGTATTTTTATTGTTGTATTGTTATTTTATATTATTATTATATTGTTTATGTTGTTATATAGAAGGATGATTGTACCTTTAAAGTTCTTTCATGCATTTAACAAATCACTTACTTTTAAGCAGGCATGCTTGGCAACTGTGAAGAAAATAAACAAAAGTCCTCCGTCTTCAGGAAGCTTACATTCTAGTGGTGGGACAGAGCAGTTAAGGCAAACAGTTTTTGCCTTTATGAACTCTAGCCAAGAATTGTGGGGGTTAACAAACTATAATTGTCTGTAGGCAGAGATATACAAATTATACTAACTACACTATTTCATTAAAGATTGTCATATCATAAAACAATTCAATCGAGTTTCAGATTTTTTTCTTTAAAAAAAACTTTATGGATTTAATTGTAATAAAATAACATCAAATCCCAAATCTTTTTCTGTAAATATCTCTGATGATTCAATTTTATGAAGCCTGGACTGAAAAGATTTGTCCCAACAGAAAAACACCACCTTGATAAGTCTAAGTGGGAATGAGGAACAGCAATTTAAACATAAAGTATACACCCAGTTGTTTGGGACCTCTGATCTGTTCTTCACAAACGTTTTAAATAGTCTTACATGCACCCAAGTATTTAAAGTAGGGGTCAAAAACTCAAGTGCCTACAAGGGTCCAGACACCAGAAGTGAGCGAGGCAGGCTGGCTGAAAGATAACAGGGAGGCTGTAGCAAACTGGAGACTGTTTCTAAACAGACCAAAGGGGCCAGGCAGAAACGTATTGCCAGATCTTCCATTTTCTTAAAATAATCCAGAAATCCAGATATTTACACATTAGCTCCCGCTTTTGAACACCGGCGACTCATTCAAATAGCAAATCGCGGGGCAGGCCAACACGCAGGTCAGGTCACTAGTCTGCGAACTCCAGCTAGACCGTCAGTGGGTCAATGAGGTAGTTTATCCCCTGAGGATCCCAGGGATCTCTAAGAGCCTGACATCCCATTAGACTAATTCTGCCACGCAGCTTTGGGCTATCCCTTGAATCATACAAGCCTAAGGTTCAAAATTAAAGCAGAGCAAACATGAGATTATTTTGGATTCGGACACCATGCCATTTAGACAGATGCTTCCCTCTCCCTCTCCAGCTCCAATGAGGCATCAGCTATGACGTGTGTGATTAAGTGGTGGACACTTGGTTAGTATCAATATTAACAGATAAGGAAAGACGATGGGATAAAAAGGATTAAGTTCCCAAAAGTGTTTCTGACCCCTTTATTTTCCTGCAAAGGACGACAGGAGCCGATCCTTAAAGGGGCAGGCACAGGCCTGCTCATCTCCTCACCTGGCTTTGGTAACACCGCCCTCGGAAGTGGAGCACAGGGTACGTCTGTCCCTCGCCCTTGCGAGTCTTTGCGCGTCTTCAGGGCGGGGCGAGAGGGTCCCGCTTCCCTAGATGCAAGCCGGCGGGAGAGGTGGGGCTGGGGGCGGGGCTGTGGGATGGGGCGGGGCTTCAGGAGGCGGGGCTGGCGGCTCACCCGCGCGGCCCCGCCCCGCCCGCGCTCTCCCGCGGTGGCGCTTTCCTGTCCCCTACACTTTATTTTTTTTTTTGAGACAGAGTCTCACTCTTTTGCCCTGGCTAGAGTGCCGTGGCGTCAGCCTAGCTCACAGCAACCTCAAACTCCTGGGCTCAAGCGATCTTTCTGCCTCAGCCTCCAGAGTAGCTGGGACTATAGGCACACGCCACCATGCCCGGCTAATTTTTTCTATATTTTTTTTTAGTTGTCCGATTAATTTCTTTCTAATTTTAGTAGAGACGTGTTCTCGCTCTTGCTCAGGCTGGTCTGGAAGTGCTGAGCTCAAACAATCCGCCTGCCTCGGCCTCCCAGGGTGCTAGGTTTAGAGGCGTGAACCACCGCGCCCGGCCTCCTACACTTTCTTAAAGGGGCAGAAGTATGAAACCCAAGGGCGTCCTCACCTCACCTGGAAAGTAAGGCAATGTTAAATGTGTGTAATGTTTGTCGAATTCTGATTTCTAAAAAATTCATGCTGAAACTATGTATGTGACCATCTACTATGTGCCAGTCACACTTCTAGGCACTGGGCATAGAGTGGTGAGCAAAATAGACACAGTATAAGCCCTTTATGGTGCTTACATTCAGCTGCAATTAAATCATAATGAACGTCCTCCCTTTTGTAAAGATTTTCATGAATGCACTACCTACATCTATTGGCAGTCTATATCGCTCAAGTCTGGATCCGTGTATCTGCCTTTGAACTGCACTCAGGTAGCTCACTGGCCCCTCAACACACCAAAATTAACTCACCAGCTCACCTGACAACAATTAAAACATGCTCTGGCGAGCCCGAGAGAGAAAAATTGTCCAAAACTAAAAAGCAATGGGCAAACAAATGAAGGCGCTCAGGAAATTTCGCCCCAAAATATGACTCCTTGGTATAAAGAGTATTTTGAATTACAGGCCCTTCCACATCCAAAAAGCAATGGAGGGAGCTTTCCCTCTATCTGCATAAGCCTGACTGGTCAAAAAGATCAAAGGGGAAAACTGACTTCTCTTCCTCTCCCAGTAATCTCTCCCTGTATTGCAGGAAAGAGGATCAAGAATGCCACCAGACCTGGCCCAAACCATTTAAATATAATACCTGTGCCTCAGGTTAATTTAATTTGCAAAGAGAATCATTTACAAGTCAATCTGTTTCCCCCATCCATTTGTCCTCCCTAGCACCATTTGTCACCTCTAAACAAAATTATCTGTATTCCTCATTTCCCCCCTCCCCTAGAAGGCAGGTATAAAAATATCTGGTCCCACTGGGGTATTGAGTAAGCACTCTGTGATTCTCCCCACACGCATGGTAAAAAAACCCTTCTTTTATTAATCAGCCTTAATTGTGAGTTGATCTTTCATAGAACTCTCTGGGGAAAGGGCAAGTTTCCCCCCCACCCCTACACCATGTTTCTGCGTCTTAGTTTGCAGTTTGAGGAATGCACTGGCATCTGCCTGTTCAAAATCAGAACCTGTCACTTGGGTTCTTTGCTCCTTCCCTGGGTTTAAACAGGTTTCTGGCTTCCCATGTGTGGATGGAAAAATCCAAACTCTGAAATAATTTAAAGAGATTTATTCTGAGCCAAATTTGAGGACCATGCCCGGAGCCACACCCAAGAAGCCTTGACCAAGTGGACTTGTAAGGTTATAGCAGAATCTCCCCCCTTGTGTGTGTGTGTGTGTGTGTGTGTGTGTGTGTGAAATGTAAGGCATGTAAGGTTATAGCAGAAGTGTTCTCTTTAATTCTAACTGATGCCATCTGCTTCTGTCACTGTGCTTGCTCTTAGTTGATAGTCAAATATAGCTACACGGAACAGGAGTGACTCCATGACAGGCTGAACTTCCTAGAGTAGGCCTGCAAAGATGTAACAAAACCCCCCCGTGTGTCCTTGCTTAAACTTGCCTGCGAGTGTCGATTGCAGCTTCTTGGAATTTCTCCACCCCAGGCTGGCAGCTCCGATTGCAGCCGACGAGATTACCCCACCCTCGGCCTCCTAGAGTAGTTTGTGCAAGATTAAGCCTCTGGAATTTCCTCTTATCCGTCTGCCCCGAAACTCCTCTTATCCGTCTGCCCCGAAACTCCTCTTATCCGTCTACCCCGAAACTCCTCTTATCCGTCTGCCCCGAAACTCCTCTTATCCGTCTGCCCCGAAACTCCTCTTATCCGTTTGCCCCTGACCACCTGCGTGTGGTTTTTACCTTTATAAACCTCAAACTTGTAAGCCTCGGCGCGGCAGCTACCCAACCTGGTGATGCTGTGCGCCCCTGCGCTGCGCTTGTAATAAAACCTCTTGCTTTTTGCATCAAGTCTCGGTCTCCGCTCGCTTTTCAGGGTGGTCGTCTCTCCCCTGGGCCCACCGCGGAATTATCTGCGGTCTAACAGACTCACTGTGGTTGGGTTACAGTTTGATTTTTATACATTTTCAGGGAGATGGGAATTACAGGCACATGGAAGGCGTACATTCGTTTGGCCCAAAAAGGTGGAACATCTCAAAGCAGGGGCTTACAAGTCATAGGTGGGTTTAGGGATTTAAGGCATGACAACTTGAAGCGGGGGCTTACAAATCATAGGTGGATTTAGGGATTCTTTAGTGGACAATTGGCTGAAAGAGTTAGGTTTTGTCCAAAAGACCAGGAATCAGCTGAAAGGAACGTTTAAGGGTCTTTTATCTTTCACATGATGCTATACCAGAATCAGGTTGGGAAGTAAACAACATCATAAAAACCTGTTTGCTGAGATTTTATCATTTGTAGGTGTTGTAGTGTGGAGGGCGCGAACAGACCACAAGAAAATTTAATGGAGCCAAATTGAGAGTCTTTATTAGCTGGCCAGCGACCACCTCTGCCCGCGTAAAAGCAGTACAAGAGAGTGGCACCAGTCTTTAGTTTTTACAGGAATTTTATACCATTTTGAGGGAGGCTACGTGATATAGAACAGGTATTTTGAGAACAAAGGAAACAAAGGCAGGATGTACAATCAATATTTCAATGACACAGAGTCCTGAGAGCTGGCTGTTCTCACAGTTCTCTGGTGCCCAAAGACAGATTACAATCTTTGAAGTAAAGCACAATCTAAGTTATAGATTAAACACAGAACATTCTTCCAGTTACCCATTGATCATAAGTTGAACCCTTGACATACTTCGCGTGGGGCAATCAGGCCCTGAATTCTATCAATTGCTAACCGCAAGCTTTGTACAGAAGCAAATAGCGTTCATTAAAGTTCCCTAGCAACTATAATTGCATTATACCTTTTTGTTCATTAACCCTTCAAAGCATCTCAGCTCACTATAGTAGGCATGACTCATCAGGCCCCCTTCGAGAGGAAAAATTTTCTTTTTTTGAGGGGGCAAAGAAAAGATCAGAGTTCAGTCCTCACATGTAAACTGTAATCTCCAGGAATTACTACAGGAAAGTGAAACTTGTTATTCCAATTAGCCCCCCAGAAGCATCCTTATCATTTGCTTCTTAGATGAATGGCATATTTACTGTATTCCCACTGATAGGCTACAAACCCAGCATTTCAGAGTATTCTGCCTTAGATTTCCTCTATACTAACTAATATGACGTTTTTATGACCTGCATTCATTAACTTATGAGCTTTTTCTTAGTTGCTGATGTAAACCTTTGTTTTCTCAATCAGAATAATTTCTCATTTCCACACATTATCCGATTTTCCTGCTAGCAGTGAAAGTTTATACGTGTTCAAGATCAATTTGTCTAAGAAATGTTGTTTTTAACCAGCTTTTGTATTCTATCCCAGTGAATAGCTGGAATATTCCAATCATTTCCCAAGAAACCAGAGAGAAGACACAGGCCTAATATTTCTACAAAGGAGGGTCTCCAGCAAAAAGCTTAGTGGTCACCATTGAAGATGCATTTGGTAATGTTTGAATAACACCTTATCCAAAACCTGGAACTAGGCTAAAGGGATTGCTGCATTTCTCCCCTGCAACCCCCTTAATAGTTTTAAAACTGGCCCTTTCCATGCCTCCTGCCGTTGCCTTAGTTTGGCCTCATGACTGCATGCCTGGATTCTGTAATTGGTCTGTCTCTAATCCTGCCTCCTCTGACCCATTCTCTATACTGTCCCTTAAATGATTTTTTCTGAAATTTACATTCCATAGTCAAGAAATGGCCTTATATTCCTGTAATTTCAGAGCAACCATGTAAAACAGGAACACATGGATTTTCTTTACTGTTGCTTGGTGGTGATGTGGTGGTGTTTTTTTTTTTGAGACAGAGTCTCACTCTGTTGCCTCGGCTAGAGTGCCGTGGCGTCATCCTAGCTCACAGCAACCTCAAACTCCTGGGCTCAAGCGATCCTCCTGCCTCAACCTCCCGAGTAGCTGGGACTACAGGCATGTGCCACCATGCCCGGCTAATCTTTTCTATATATTTTTAGTCCTCCGATTAATTTCTTTCTATTTTCAGTAGAGACGGGGTCTTGCTCTTGCTCAGGCTGGTTTCGAACTCCTGAGCTCAAACAATCCGCCCGCCTTGGCCTCCCAGAGTGCTAGGATTACAGGTGTGAGCCACAGCGCTGGCCCTGTTGTTGTTTTTTAACAGAAAGAAAGGACCATTTAGCTTTTATCAAAATTGGCCCAAAGGCATCCAAGCAGACTTGTCAGCTTGTCTGATAACAATTTGAACTGTTGTCTACCCTGTGATTTTCACCTGTAAATATTTGCCCTACACTTTTGTTCAGACAGCTAATTCTCAAATAACTACTCTCTTTTGCAAGTGCAAGTAAAAAATTTTATTCCCTACCCAAGTTTGTCTTTAAGATTTTGAGGTTTTTCAGACAGGTTCTTCAATTATACTTA